TTTAGGATTATGAGGTTGTCGTTTGTCACGACCTAAATCCTCACATTCTCTAGGCTATTTGTGTGATCGTTTCACACGAATATAAGTCCTAATTAATAAAATTGGCAGGATGAAACATTTAAATATTTATCTTCAAAATTGAAGCCAAACCATAGGATAGCTTCGGAAGTCACTGAGGTTCTCCTCCAGATCTATGACATCACATAGTTTTTCCTCATTTGAATTCCAAAATAAAATGTTCCAAACTTAAGTCATTCCCCTTTCACATCTCTTTATTTGATTTCGTTGAAAAGTCCTAATCCTTTGACTTCTTTGAAGATAATGTCTCTTGATTTTTATCGAGAGTTTTTTTAGGTGACTTCGGTTATCTAAGATGTAATTAACTATTGGGGCTTGCCCTTATAGGAAACATTTACAAACCCAACTTAATATAAATTCTATTTAATTCTTCGTATTAAATAGGAAAAATTGTCGGTTAATAAAATAAAAATGGTTTTTCGCATATTTAAACGGATGTCATACAATCTTTAGTTTATTTAATCGAGTCTTACCAGTAAGTAGTGTATTTATGCTTTGGAGTAAATACATTGTTGACGGTATTAGGCTCGTTTATTTAAACTACTGGAGATATGAGATCGGTTCAGTATTGTATTTTAAAAAAATTTAAATACTATTTTTTCTAAATTATATATGTATTAAATTAAATTAAAACGGATGTTAGGATATCCATCATAGCGGCCAACAACTCAACAACTCCTCAACTTTTTAGTGCCAACAGAGAGCAGATGCTAGAAGACCAACATAAGGTCGATGACAAGCACGCATGGCAGAGACTTTAGTGGATCACCGCGACAAGCGGCCAATGACATTCGTAGAGGATGAAGAGTAGGAGGAGTTTCTTTTTATGTTTTATTTTATTTATAAGCATTATTTTGAACATATGCTGTGGAATTTTTATTTATTTTACTATTCTTATTTGGTGCAATTTGTGACAACATCTTCTTTTTCGTTAATGATCTGTATTTGAGCTTTGATCTGTGATATGACTGAATAAAATTTCTTTGAGATGTGAATATTTTATTGTGTACCGGTTGTGAAAATGTAAATGCTCTTTTATATTTTTTTTTATGTTCAGCAAGTTTGCGTCTAATAATCTGACGCTAAATTGACAATTATATTTTGTCGTTCTTTGATATTATATGTCGCAAATTCAACGGTAATCAAACAAATATTTTTATCATATGACGTTAAGACAAAACAAATCTGACGCTACGATGACATGAAAATTGATGTAAATTATAACGTCAAAGTATTTCGATACAAAATTGATGGAATTAACATTTCATACCCCCGATTTACCAGTAGAAAAAATCAAACATAACTTAGATGCAAATCCAACGATTTACCTCAAATATCCTTAAATTTGCCTTAGATTTGCGTCCGATTTGGCCGACATAATTTTTTTTAAAATCTGTATTGATGGGCTATCCCTCTCTAAACTGGTTAAATCAGTTGTATTGTCCAACTTTACTGTGGAACATACCATCAGCTCCAACATCAGTCCCTCTGATGATACCCCTTCATATGCAAGTAAGGCTTGCCTTAAGGAGTCCCTCATTTCCAAAGAAATGAACCCCTCATAAGAAAGGAGTGCACCAAGGAATGTTATCTCTGAGAAGTCACCCATCACTTTCTTTTCATGACAAATTGGTTCACTTTGATTGGACTTCCCACAATCAGATCTCGCGTTGTCAGATAACTCACCACCTTCCCATGTATCTGCAATAAGTGTATGCATCATTTTTCATAGAAATTTCTTACTCTTAGTATGCATCAACTCATCCATCTATGTCTTGTGGATAATGAGAATGGATTAAAAAATTGAATAAGTAAGAACTTTATGTGGAAGGTTGTCGGTCAACCTCTCTTTGGCTTTCTAAGCAACTAGTTGTATTAAATTTCTCCTGCTTGACGTGGATGGCATCAGAAACATTCTAGTCAACCTCGATCATCTTACTATAAACTCTCGGAGCTAACACCTTGTTAACTACCAAGCCCTCAAAGTATTGTCAAATGGACAATATCTTTTCCTCAAACTTATTCTGCTTTAGCTATACCATTGGCATGATCTTTGGTTTAAACTTGGGGAGAGAGGCCTCGGTCAACATCATCTTGATTGGCCCGTCGCCCTTCATATGAGCAAAAAAAAAACTAAAGCTTTCAATTCTTCACATTATATTTGAGACCTCGAAGGTGAAAACATCATGCAGAGGACCACTTGAGATATCCACTCAGATTGTTCAAAAGAAAAATAGGTAGTTGAAGAGTTCCATCGACCATGTGATTCCCATTTGAAAAGCAAAAATCTCAAAGGTCATCACAGTAGTAATAGAGTTTGGTATCACATGCGATAAAAATAAAAAAAATGTCGCACAACTCCTTGCATAGCGAAAGTCGAAGGCCTAGTCAAAATTGATCCTTATATATCACTAGCTCATTGTCTCTAAAGGTGCTTGCTATCTTTTCCAGATTAATGGCATGGAGACGAACATACGGATTGAAGAAGTGACTCTTCTTATATTTAATACCTCATCCTTAGAAATCTTCAATGAATCAGAAAGGCTAGTAGCCACAAAATCCATCAGAGAGCAGCGGCGAGGAATCATGTCACGAGACAAAAATAATTAGGAAGATCACAAAAAAAAAACATATTTAATGTTGTCATTGCCTTTTTCATAGGGTCACAAAGAGTCCTAACCACCATAAGTCGGGGTAGAACCAAAAATAAAGGAGCCATAACACTTGAACAACAAAAAGTGTTGGTATGAATACCTAGAGTTTAAATGAAATTTATTAAGAGAAAACTATTAGCTGAAACATGATCGAGCCAAAGAAGTCACCAAAATAAAAATTTGTCCAAGACCTAAATTGGCCAATCCTACTGGACTCGGATTTATCCTTAGAAATTTGAAGCACCAATCTCTGAAAGATTTGTGAGTTCTCGATCGAGGCCAGTCATCATTTATTGTATCATAAAAACTTCTTCTTACAGCCTCATCATACAAGATGACATGACAATCACCTTCGGACTTATTTGTATGGCAACCTCACTCGCGAAGGAACATTTGATCTCATTCTGGGAATGAGCGAGCATCTTACAATCCAATCGAACCTCCTTGATAATGTCCCTATGTGTTTCTAAAGGCGGTGGAATGTATTTGGGAGATCGACTTCACCTTCCTCACCGCTAAGCCCATCATCTCATTCTACCACTCTTTTCTTCTCTCCCGCCGACATCGACAAAGCTTTGTCAATGTTTGGCCAATCTAATCATCTATAAAATCGAGGAAACAAAGATTCAAGCATCACAATGGGAACAATCAATAAAATAAGAACTTACATACTAAGAGCCCCTAACATCTCAAACATTGTTGGCTCTTGCCAATGAGCCTTCTACCATGAAATAGGAATCTAGGTACTCGATTTAACTTCCAAACTTCTAATGTGCCAGAGGTATCATGATGAAGTGTCGAACAGATGGATCTTCAGTTACAAATACATTTCAACATCCTTTAGGGTCACCCCGAAAGAGCCCTGCTGACACAAAGGCCAAACTATCCTCTTCACCACCACTTTCTTCTTCTGTTCGACCTCGCGGTGTTTTTTGTCTCTCTTATGAGAATATCTCCTAGATTACAACCTTATTCAGGATATCAGTTTGGGACTTCTTGAGCCTATCCATTGTAATTTTTCATGGAGCTAAGGGATAACCAACGAAGAAAGGGGAGAGCAGAAGTTTGTGCAGAGCGACAAAAAATGACATGGGATGAACAAACTCTGAAAGACGCTGAACCTCTTTTTTTATAGCAATTTAAAATACAAAAATGAAGAGAATATCAATCATTGGTATCATTTAAGGATAACTAACAATTCACTGCATTTAATTTTTTCGTTCTTATTGTACTGGAGCTACTAATGTTCGAGAGAATTATGAAACTAAAATATTTACAATAAAAATACCCTTAACTAGATCTTCAGCAGATCAGATGGTTGCCAGATAGAATTCAACGAGAATAAATAATAGTACCTGGATGACGACCAAGCAAGGTTGTCAGACAGAATTCTGTGAGAATAAATAATAGTACCTGGATGACGACCAAGCAATAGTAGACAATTGTCCAAATTGGTCTGCTAATCAATGACTGCCCGACCAAGTTGACCAGCCGACCCAGATGCTAATTAACTTGTAGACAGCTCGGGCAGAGGTTAACCTTCAAGAAGATGACTCGCCATATATTTATCATTTGCATGACATGAACCCGATCGATTGACAACCAGCCAACTAAGAGGTTCATGGTATAATTATCATTTCACTATAATCATAGTCCTTTATAACTAAGGGGATCATTAAATATAATAAAAGATTATTAAAACTATATACAAAAATATCTCCCACCTCTCTCTTTTTGCACATTCCTAACTTCTTTTCACGCTATCGATCGTTGCTATACATAATTAAATTTAAAAATTGTCATTTAAACTTTAAACAAATAAATAAAACAATTCTAAGATAAACACAATATTTTTTTCCCTCCATGTCCATCCCTTTAAACTTGTGGAAAAAATTTGCGTACGTCAAGGGGTACGCATCTTCCCTCCATGTCCATCCCTTCAAACTCGCACCTCTGAAATCTACATTTTGTTGTCCTCAGCTCCGCAACCGGCCCAATTGCTGAACAGCTAACGAACTTCTTTGGCCACAGCAGTTGACCGCTGCAGATTCGCCATTAAACAGCGATGTTACACGGGATTTACACAGGAGGTTACACGGGAGTTACACGGGAGGTACAACAGGTTATAACCCCCTTTTAATCTCCGTATAACTCCCATGTATCATATTATATACGCAGAAATGCGTACCCTGACGTACACAAATTTTTTCCCAAACTCGCACCTCTGAAATCTTCATTTTGTTGTCCTCAGCTCCGCAACCGGCCCAATTGCTGAACAGCTAACGAACTTCTTCGGCCACAGCAGTTGACCGCTGCAGATTCCCCATTAAAAAAACCTTTCAGAAACAAAAAAATTGTGTGTGCCATGATGCCACAGAATATAGAAATATTATGAAGAGAAGTGGGGGGTCGGGTGGGTGGCTAGCCGACAACTCGTGTGGCGACGGTTGCTGTTTCCCCGCAGCTTCCTCCCCCACATCCCGCTATTTCCTTGAACCATTCCAATCTATCCTCTCCAACCACTCCCCCGTTCCATTACACAAGTTGTTGACAACAGAAATCCATGGGTGGAAGAAGGCATCCATGCGAGATTAGCCGGAGAGAAAATAGTTGGAGATATCGAAAAACCCATGACAAGCATCAACTAAATGCCAAATCACAAAAGATATCCCACCGATCCTCTCCCATTATTTTAACCAAATCTCTTCTGCCATTTTCCACCAAATACCTTTAACCCTTTTGCCTCTTCCAAAAGATCCCCCTTTACTCTTTGTCTTCTTCCTCATCCCCACCCCATCCCCTTCCTTTATATTCCCACCTTCCTCCACCTTCCTCCCTCCGCTCCCCGCCTCCCTAATCCTTATTCAAAGTTAACAAAGGAGAACAGATAGGTTAAAAGATGCAGGAAGAGGTGGGAGAGGATCTCCTTAGTTTGAGACTAAGCATAGGTGGTGTCTATCATTTTGATCAGCCCACGAAAAAAAGGAAGAGAATTGATGATCCAAATGATAAGAACCTCATGCTGTTGCTGCAGACTAGAGACCGCATGACGCAGCTGAGCTGCAACAGACATGGGATGGCAGACGAGAAGGGGTTGCAGCTCGTCCGCCTCCTGTTGCTTTGCGCCACCGCCGTGGACCGCAATGATCGGAGCTCTGCTGCTGATTTGCTCCGGCAGCTCTACCGCAACGTCTCTTTATCCGGCAGTCCGATCCAACGGGTCACCGCCTACTTCACCGACGGCCTCATGGCCAGTTTCATGTCAAAAAATTCCTCCTTTTATAGCTCCATCATGGCGGACCCTTCCCCTGCAGAGGAGTTCTCTGCTTTCACTTCGTTCTGCCTCGCATCCCCTTACTACCAATTCGCACATTTCACAGCCAACCAAGCCATATTCGAGGCTTTTGAGGAAGATGAGAAATGGAACAGTGGATGCCTCCATGTCATCGATTTCGATGTCTCTTATGGCTTACAGTGGCCTTCCCTGATCCAATCTTTGTCAGATAAAGCCACGAATGAGAAACCCATTAATCTTCTTATAACAGGGTTTGGGAAAAGCATGGAGGAGCTCAAGGATACGGAGAAGAGGCTTTCGAGCTTCGCCTCTGGTTTTCGCAATCTGTTCTTCAAGTTTGAAGGGAGATTGAGAGGAGGAAAGGGCCAGGGGGAGATTCAGGTACAGAAGAATTCAACTGTGGCAGTGAATCTAGTGTTTTATCTCCACTCGCTCAAGAGTTATTCAGATATCTGTACAACTTTGACGCAAATAAACGAATTAAATCCTTCAGTGGTAACCTTGGTGGAGAAAGAAGGAAGCAGAGGGAACCCAAATAGTTTCTTGTCGAGATTCATGGAATCTTTGCAGTACTTCGCCGCCATGTTTGATTCATTGGATGACTGCCTCCCCGCAAGGAACAAAGAGAGGCTGAGGATTGAGAAGAACCATCTGGGGACGGAGATCAGACATGCTGTCAAGGATGAAGAAGAGAAAGGTTGCAGATATGAGAGATTGGAGACATGGAAGGCGGTGATGGAGAGATACAGATTTGAGGGCGTGAGGATGAGCTCGCGTTCGGTGAGTCAGGCAAAACTTCTTCTTAAGATTACCAGCCATTCTTCCGCCATGGATGACCATGGCACCGGAACAGGATTTAGGATCTTTGAGAGAGATGAAGGCAACGCTTTGTCTTTAGGCTGGCAAGATACTCATCTAATCACTGCAACTGCATGGCGTCGATCTTCATGATATGAATCAAACAAAATCAATCAATATGTTTCTAGTTTTTGTGAGTTAATATTACCCTTATTTATTAATCTTTCTTGTAACATTTTTTTTTTCCTTTTTTTGTACCTTTTTAACATAATTGATATATAATTGTGTAACAATGATGGAAGGAATTCAAACCTGTTTGTTAAATTTAAGAATTCTCTAAGAATTATCAGAATACTGAATTTTTTCATTATTCTTTTTTTTTTTCCTTGGAAGTTATATTTGATTTGTTTTGGTATGATTATTTTATGAAAGATTATTATATCGTGCAGAGTCCAATGAAATTACACCGTGGAGGTGATCGATGATTTCGCACGTAGAGTTACGCGCAGAGTCCAATGAAATTACACCGTGGAGGTGATCGGCCCGATAACACAAGTGAATATTTCATTTGTGTTATTTCATGTTATTCAGGTGTTATTTATGTTATTCAGGTAATATTGTGTTCTGGGAATATTTTCGCTGTTATAATAACACAATAACACATCAATAATACTTGAATAATACACAATAACATCTGAATAACACGGGAAGAATATTCTCTGTGTTATCTGACAAATTTTTTTATTTTTTTATGTGGCGTGATTTTATTGGATTCCACACGTAACTCTACGTGCGGAGTCATGATGCACCATTTTTTCCCATTTTTTATATATTATATTTTGTCAACAACAGAAATTTGAGGTATTTATGGGTTCAAATGTAACAGAAAGGTTCCTTACACGTGAATGGAATAACAAGTAATTAAAGGCCGGGTCAAATTAAGCTAACATTAATTAAATTTTTAATTAATTGACGCGAAGTGTAAATTTAATTTATGCAATTTATTATTTCTATCTTGACTTGGTATGAAATTTTGAAAAGAATGCTAATCTGCCAATCGAGCTGACCCGGCTGTGACAAATTGTGGCTAGAGGATGAGTCTTATGCGCCTCTTTTAACTGCAATTTATGCTCAATTTTTTCAGATTTAACCACAGGAAAAATTATGTCATACGGACACCTGTCCGATCTTCACCGTCGATCATTATAAATATATAAATTAGTGGGCCTCACTTTCAATTTTTTTTTTTTTTTTAAAATTTGATTGTGGTGATCAATGGTGTAGATCGAACACCGCATGAATCTCTACATACAGTGTCCATATGAAATAATTTCTCCAACGAAGCTGATGCTAGCTTATGTTTTTTCACCCTTCGTGATGAACAGATTTTCTTTTCTAGAAATCATTAATTAAAAATTAGTATTTAAATATAAATGAGATTTGTTGTGGTTTTTATTTATTTGTTTTGGTAAATTTGCGTATATACCACGCAATTCATATGTATTTACACATCCAACACCTAAAGTGTGATATTTCGGTAACACGAATCCACACATCAAAATGTATATTTAACTTTCAAAAAGTTAATAAAGATAATATTATTTTGCATGCATGTTATAAAAGGTTTAATGCATATAAATATAAAAGTTTGGGGTTAGATTTGTAAATATAAAAGAGTTGTGTGATATGTATGCAAATGTTTTTCTTATGAAGTCATCGTTGATCTAGCAATATTACTGCGTGTGGACACGCAGAGCAAAAGTAAACTAATTAAGCACATCTTAATAATCTTATTTTGTTTCTTTTAGCTGTTTTCCAAAAACTAATATTTCCTCTATGTTCTATCTATATTATATAAAATGTCACCATATGGCATAAATTTAGTCAAACTACACTAAATTCTATTCAAAATATTTGAATTAGAATTTTATTTTTTTTAAACTCGTAAAAGAATATCGTTGTTGATGCTACATGTGCTATTTTTGGAGAAAATGTTGCGTCGGACTCAAGTAATGCCCAGAAAACGGACACGATACATCCGAAGGAAAAAAAAATAGGGTATATCGCTTCGATTATCCGGACGTTGCTTTGCATCTTCCTATTTTTGGGTAGTGCAATGTATCCTCCTATTTTTGGTGGTGGAAGTTTGTGAAATTTGATGGCAGTTGTAGATTTGTTGTTCCTATGTGTTTCCTTTACTCCCTTTTCGCATTGAGTGGATCAACTCTTTCCTTGGTTGCCGCTGTGAGCATCTGGCCGAGCATATTCTGTAGTGAGATGTTAAGGATAAATAAAATGATTATGAATTTATCTTTTGACTAACTAAATTTTCATTGTTTAAAGTGGCATATTTTCATTTATTTTTTAATTGAACAATAAAATAATAAAATTTGGTGGCATTTACATTTATATCATTCAATTCCTACGTATTTACATATCTAATATCAAAATCTTATTTTTTACATTCATACCACCGGATGCTTTCATATCACATAAAAAATATCATCATTTTAACTTTAAAAGTGGAATTTTGAAATTTTGGTGTTAGTTATGTAAATACGTAGGTTTAGATAGGTATGTAATCGTCTTGAAATATAAGTATTGACAACCCACAGAAATATATATATATATAT